GAATCAACAAATGCGGATCGGCTGCAGCAGATGGCAGATAGATGTGGCAAGGATCGATGCCTGCATGCCTCGGGTCCAGGAACACCAGAATTCCTTCGCGATCCTCAGTGGGAGTCAAGGGAAACACCGCAAGAGTGTCACGGCACGGTATCCCTCGGAAGACAACATCACTGAGCTCACTCCCTGGAGGTGTCACAAACAGGGTTCTGTCTGGCGTACGCTCAACGAGATCAGCAAGGTAATGCAAGGTGGGTTTGTTCGGACACCGAGCAGCGCTGTATAAAATGCTGCGCTCGTGGTACAAAGTCAGTACGGGACGGTCACCGAAGGGTTGTGGCAGCGCCGGCTCGGCGAGCCACCATTGCGGCCTGTCAAACCTTTCAGTAAGCGTACCGCACCACGAGGCTGGGCTGTTTCGCGGTTGAAATTGGATGACACCCCCTAGTGTAACCAAAAACGTGTCTCCCGCCTCGATGGCTCTGGAGCAGCCTTGAACATAGATGCTGCACTCTTCAAACCCATGAAAACGGGCTTCTCGCTGGCACTCGAAGTGGGAGAACCTTTCGTGCACAATGTCTGCATAGACTGGGCCATCGAGGGCTCGGAAATCATATACGACAAGCTGTTTGTTTGCCTGCGGCAGCCACTTGGGTGCGACTATGATAGATGCAAAATCAGCGCCTAGTTGCGGAATCGTAGGTGCCGTAACAAAGCAGAAGGGAAGCTGCAACTTAGACAGTTTGTCCCTTACTGCATTGTGAAATGTAGACAGGTCAAAAGGAGGCCGAAGTGTAAGCCGAAGTACTTCAGCCTGATATCGTGGCGCCAGAACATAGCAGACACCTTCAAAGGCAGGCTCCGAGAGCTGGCCAACCTCAGGGGGAGAATGCAAAGGTGGTATGGGTATGTCATTGGTGTTCTCCAGAGGTCTGCTAAGATCGTGATTCTGCACCTGCATAAGGAAATGCAGATGGGCATCCGGATCCGCGCTCCCGAGACTGTGCTGCGCGTCGCCATTCGGGTTGTGCGGGAGCGGTTCCGGAGCTTGATCTACTATCTCTTGTGCAGCATGTATCGTGTTTTGCAAATGCTGGGGGGCTGCCCAGACCTGACACGGTATCTGCAAGAGAAGTGCACTCCAAATGCCTCGCAGGCATTTACCTCCGAGCAGAGAGGATTGCTTCGAACAGCATCGACGGCGAGGCCTGTGCGAAACTGGGCATAGTGTTCCGCTATGCACGGCCGCTTGCTGGTCAAGCTGTGCAACAGAAAAGGCAGCTAGGGGCTGCAAGAAATCCATTGGTATCCCGCAAGCTGGCATCGCAAGGCATCTAGCAACGGGCGCATGTTTCGTACACAGCGGTATGCTCAAAAGACGCAAACTCGCACATAAGGTCAAAAACGCGAGGTGCACGAAGAACGGGCAGATGATGTCGACTGCCCAACTGCAGAAGGCCCAAAAGAAGGTGCCGGCGGATGTCTTCCGAACCCCGGGGATTAGCGGGCCTAAACCCAAGAACAAGGAGGGAAGACTGAGGTCAGGAGGGTTCTTAGGGGCATCCTTGGTCTTGACCCTGCGTAAAGGCACAATGGAGCGGCCGGTATCTGGGCAGTGTGGGCCAGAGGTCTCAGATTGGAATTTGGTTTCGGCGATCACCCCAGAGCAACCGATGTGATTCTTTTGCGCTCGAACACCAAAATTCCTAATGCAAAAATGGCCTGCACCACGTTGGCAGATAAATGAGTGCCCGGAATGTGTGTCTCTGAGAGGCCGTGGCGTGGGGGCTTCTGTCTCATCACAAGCCCAGTGAGGAGACAGTTCCCGCGAGGAGGAAGCAGTATAGGGCCTGAACCAGTCGCTAAACCCAGCGAGGACAGACTCTCTACTGCAGCGAGGCGGACAAGTGGTCGAGCTCCCTTTGAGTAAAGAAGAAATTTTTGTACAGCTACTCTGTTCCTGTACACCGCTCACATGGGAAGTGAAGGCATTCCTTGCCAACCGGTCAGCGCAATCGAGGTCTTGCCCACAGGGCTGCTGGGTTCTGTGAGTTGAGCCCCTGCTCAACTCAAAAGAACTCGGGCCCTCTAGGCGACATCGCGACTGCACGACCGTGGCATGGGCATGCTCATTGCTTCCGCTAGCCTCATTCAAGCACCCGATGCCGCGCCAGCATCTGCCTGTCCTGCCAGCTCGTCGTCGTCTTCTACCAAAGCAGGGATCGGCGTCTTGGTGGGGTCGATCTGGTATAACGTACCGACTCCTGTGCGGAACGGGGTCATGGCACGTCTCTGAGCGAGCATTTCCTTCAAGGAGTCCTCGCCAGCAGTCGTGGGCTTGGCTGCATTCTCCGGTGGCTCTCGAGGCGGGTGCAGGGCGGATCCATAAGGTCCAACACGAGCACTGGGAGAATGCTGTGTCGTCGGGGCTTTGAGGGTGGCGTTGCTCGGCGACAGCATGTAGGGGTCGTTGGCCGCAGGTCGTAGGTAGCCATCCGGGGATGGTGGCGGCGGTGGCGCTGGTAAACCGGTTGGAACTCCGGTATCCGTTGAAACATGCCCTGTAGGTGCATTGACTCTCGCAGCAGCATCGAATCCCTCTGTCTCCATGGGTGTGGGGCTCATATGCGGCCGCGGTGTCGCATGCTGTATCTCCACAAAACCAGGCGGCGGTCCGAAGTTCGGCATCAAGCTTGATGACGGTAGAGCTCTCACATCTTGCATGGAAGTCGCCAACATAGCTCGCTGCAGGATCGCTTCCGGGGCTGTGGCAGCCCCTTCGTGTCGCCAGTCGGCAAGCATGTCGTCCCAGTTCTGCAGGGCTGTTGTCTCCTCTCTGTCTGGCATATGGCCATGTGCCACTGCCAAGTGGACCGAGCGGAGGTCGGCTCGGGCACTTTCCTGGGCCTTCCTGGCCTGCTGCAGGTCGTCCTCGAGCTTTGCAACATCTCTGGCGTGTCGGTTGCTCTCCTTCATCCACGCCTGCTTCATGTCCTCCTGGAAGGCAACCCAATTGGGCCTTCCTTTCTTTGAGTTGCTTCTCCAAGCTGGTCACTCGATTCTCTGCTTTCCTTGTAGTATTGACACTGGACTGGATCAACTGCACATAGTTGGTAGCTTCGCCGATGGCAGACCCGGCTGGCCTTGGGGCCTGCTCTTCGACTTCCGCCCGTCGGTGGTCGTAGGCCGGGAATGCCGACCTGGGCTTGTGTGGCGAATATGCATGATAGGAACCACGCCAGTACTTGGGATTTCCACCCTTGCCACCACCTTTGCCGTAGTGGTCGTCCTCGTTGTACTGCCATTTTTTACCTCCCATCGAATGCCCGTGGTGCAGAGAAAGCAAACGGCAGTCGCGGTGGGGAGGCGGGGCTCCACAAGCTTGGGCCCTTCTTATCCTGCGCTTGGCTTTGCTTCGCCGCGCCCCTAGATGCCGGTGCCAACCGGGAGATCGAGGATGGAGTCCTATGGCTCAGTCCTAGAGAAAAGGACGGCGAACGTGTGTCGCCTGGGGCGTCAGCTATCCCGCACGGGTGTTCTGAGCCCTGTATATACTTACATTGACATACATATTGCTTGCAGTCCGTGCGTGCCGCACGCTCCTGTGCAGAGCGAACATAGCAACTACGTTGTTTTTCGATGTTTGAGGACAGGGTGCATTAGCCCAACAGTTCCGAACACTCAAGTGGTATTGCTCTTGCGGTTGTTGACAATGCAGAAGCCATAGTGTTTCTTCTTTCGTGCACATGGCATGCAGGTTGCCGGCCGGTACGTGCATTGACTTGTAGACACGCACACCCGCAGACTTAGACATGCGCCCCCCCCCCCCCCTCCCCCCTTCCGCTGCACCACGCTCCACCCCCCCACACCCACCCACCCACCCACCCACACCCACACCCACACCCACACCCGCACCCGCACCCGCACCCGCACCCGCACCCCCACCCACACCCGCACCCGCACCCGCACCCGCACCCGCACCCGCACCCGCACCCACACCCGCACCCCCACCCCCACCCACACCCACACCCACACCCACACCCACACCCACACCCACACCCACACCCACACCCGCACACACCCACACCCACCCACACACACACCCACACACCCACACACCCACACACCCACACACCCACACACCCACACTCACACGCACACACACACACACACACACACACACAGCGCGCGCCCACGCGCACCCGTGCGCACACAGACTGCAGGCGGCGCGCACAAGTAGAGGCACGTACACGTATGCATACGCGTATACATCATGTTTATATATATATATACATACACATACATGAATATATAAATATATACATATATATATATATATATATATATATATATATACGTACCCCCACCCACCCACTCACACACCCACCCGGCCACCCACTTACACACCCACCCACGCACTAACCCACATATGCACCCGCGCACCCAGACATACACCCAAGCAATCCCAGGCACGCGAAGACCTACACACGCACACACAGACAGACAGACGGACACAGAGAGACAGACAGACAGACAGACGGACAGACAGACAGACAGACAGAGACAGACAGACTGACAGACAGACAGACAGACAGACAGACCACACACACACACACACGCACACGCACACGCACACGCACACGCACACGCACACGCACACGCACACGCACGCACGCACACACTCTTACGTTCGCAGGTCTGACAAACAAATTATACGTATGCGAGCAACAACTTAGTCACACACCGATAAACTCGCCAACCTGCACAAGAAAAGCCTGTGCAGACAGACCTCCCTTATCAATGTTCAGGTGCACCAGAAGGGCTGATAGTAAAGACATGTGTGCGCACGTTCACATGCATGAGTGCATTATGAATGTGTGCGTGCGTATACATATGTATATACACACACACACACATGTACATTGTGGCTGAGCTTCTGGGGTCTTGTGGGGGTCTTTGCAAGAATGGTGCCACGCAAAGGCTCTTGAGCCCTGTGTACCGAGGCATCAATGGGCCCAGAAGAACATCGCAGTGGATCAGGTGGGCTTGCTTTTTCGACGAAACGAAGAACATCAGTTCAGCCATAAGACTGAAACAAACTTGAGTTGACTCATGCCATGACCCCTTTCAGTTCTGCCTCATTTGGTTGCAGAAGTCAAGACTTTGGATTTTTGGCTGAGGAGACAGCTCCTTTAAGTCTATGAACTCCTGTACATCTGCGCCATCAGAAATCTAGTCATCCCAAGTGTTCGAGGTGGCTGTAACGTCTGCCATCCACGGCTGCAGCATCGCCAGCCAGTGGACGATCGGACTTGATTTGAGGGTTCGCGACTTCTTGGGTTATGATACGTAGGTTGAAGGCGGCGGGTGTTGCAGCGAGTTCAGATTTTGTGGCGCAAAAGTGTACAGAACATTAAGCTTCGGATTGTGACGGTGTGGACACTGTGAAGTAGAGGCAGTATAGGCTGGCTTGAACATTGACACATACAAAACCAAATCAACGCAGCCAAGTTCGGTGCTGATCAGACTGTGACGATGCCTGCAATTCATTTAAACTTTGGACACCCCAATACAGCCTAAACCCAAAGGTTCTGAACCCTCTCCACCTCAAGTGAATGCCATGCTTACCGCGGAACCCTTTCGGGGCGTTTCTGTGCTTGTCTTCTTGCGCTGCATACCCTAAAATTATGACATAGGAAGACTCTAGGTGCGGTGGTTTCCAGATTATTTTCTAATTCAGTTTTAATTCAATTTCAATTCAATCAACAGATTCACTTTTAATTCAACTTGTTGCCAGGGTCGATCATGCAATTCGATTTTGATTCAGCCCTTGAAGCTGCCTATCCCCGCGGCATTTTGCTCGAAGGGCGACTTCTAGAACTCTAGGAATCCTAGTTGGTCAAGTCTTGCCGGATGAATCTGGAGACGGGGCCGCATTGGGCTGGGGCTGCGTGGGCTGAGGGGGGAGGGGGGGGGAGGGGGGGAGGGGGGGGAGGGGGGGGGGGGGGAGGGGGGGGGGGAGGGGGGGAGGGGAGGGGGGGAGGGGGGCCCCTCCGACCCCTCAGGCGGATGGTCGGCGGAGCGGGAATCCTTGCTTTTCCCTACAAAAAGTGTAGAAAAAATGCAAAATGAATTCAATAAAAGTTCAATACAAATTCAAAAAAAGATCAAAAAAAGTTCAAAAAAAGATCAAAAACAAAGCAAAAAAAGATCGCCCCCAACCGAGTGCCACCGCCCCCCCCTACCCCCCTCACCCGCCCTGCCCCCCCCCCCAGGCCCCCCTGACGTGCCCAAACCCTGTCGCACTGACCTGAGGCTGCAGAAAACAAACAGGATCCTTGCAGCCCTTGCACTTTGCACGTTGAGGAGATCGCCGTAGCCCTGGCCAGCCTCGAAGCCTCTAACTCTAACCTAAAGTCTAGCGTCTCTGGAGGCTCTGGCGTCCAGAATAACCAGCGTCACTACAGCGTGAGAGCAGGTCCTACGCGTAGACCGAAGTTGAATTCAAATCGAATTCAAATCGCATTGGGTTCCAAGGCCCCCAAACCGGGTGAACTTAAAACGAATTGCCCAAGCGAACTTAAATCGAATTGAAACCGCAAAATAAAATAATTTAGAAATTTCCTTCCTAAAGGGATTTCTATGTCATAACCCTAAAACTCCCTGACACCTAAATTCACTTGCATAATGCAGTCTTCCATGCTTCTACCCCGAAAGCACCACCCCGCCCCTGCTTTCGCCCCGACTCGAAGCCCTCATTCTGCTATCTGTTGCTTTGTACAAGAACAACGATGTTACTACCCAAAGCCCTGGACAGCCCAATTTTACAGCCTCAAGCCGCATCCGGAAATCGGTCAGTGTAAACTAGAAAAAGAGAGCAAAACGCCCAAAGCTCGGAAGCCACAAGCTTCAGCCTGATAGCACAGCAGCAGGGGAGCCTGAAGCTCGATCTCGAAGCCCGCAGCCTCGAATCAAGGGCCGAAAACCCAAAAGCAACCTGATGACGAGCATACGACGATTGCTATCCTGATCTGCAGTCGCTAGTGGGCATGTTCTCTTTCGTCAGCACCTATTCAATTGATGTATCGGCTCATAGCTAACACTGTGATTGCTTCTTACTGTTGTTCGTATCTGCAGGATCCAGGCCCTGGCCTTGTTTGTGGGCACGAGAGTGGACGGAGCAGCGGCCACGGCCGTGGTCAGCAGCTGCCAGCGAGCCGCGCCACCAGGCTTGAAAGGAGCCGCCTAAGGGCTTGAGCTAGGATTGCAGATTGCTGGGTTGAGGTACAAGTATTACTGTGGCTGTCATTCCGACTAATAATTAGTGTTGTGATCACTGTCATTCTCACGATTCGTGCGTCCGACTTTTTTTAGTGCCGAGGGCTTCAAAAAGTCTCATGTAGTGTAGAACCAGGCAGTGGATCTGTTTAGGCCCAGAGTTCAGTATCCAAGGCTGGAGGCTTTTGCGTTGAAGCCGAACCTAGGGCCTAGGCAAGGGCCTGAAGTGTACACAGGATCGGTGTGCTTCGGCTACCGCAATGCTGAAGAAGAGCTTGTGCTCCGGATATTCAATCAGAGCCATTACGGTGCTGTCAGTGGTTTTGTGGCCGGGCTCTAGATCGGTGGCAGTCGGCGAACGACGCTTGACCTACAAGTAGCAACGTTTCGGGCAGCTGCTTCGCTCTTCGTCGAGAGCGGTTCGACCTTTGGCGTGCCGACTGTGTGGGAGTGCTACTCTGTTACTCATGCCTGTGCCAGAGGGTCCGTCTGTGTGAACGGGCATGCGCGTCTCGCAAGACACATCACCTTCTGTGTGTGCCGGTCCGTTCGACATGAAGCAAGATGATCCAGAAAAGTCTTGTATATATATATGTTCAGGAAGAATTAGATACATGCTCAAAGCAGTTTGTCACATGATAACATCTTGAAAAGCCGCTGACCCTAAAGTCATCACATGCTAAGATCCCTGGAGCCTCTAGTCCTAAACCCTGCATCCTCGAAAGCGCACAGCACTAGGCACTGGGCAGCTGCTGTAAGGCTTGTGACTCTTGGCAGATGTCTGGTCTTCCCTCCGAGGCATATGCTCGCAAGCTTTAACTTGCCAGAAGTGTGGGGGCCACTGTGACGATTGGATGACGATACTTCACGATTGAGGGTATCACCAATAAAACGACGATTGTTTGCATGGTAATCGCCATGATGATGACGAAGACAAAGACGACGACGAAGATGAGCCTTTTGCTGTTGAAAATCATGATGAGGATGATGATGATAATGATGATGATGATGACGGCCATAGTCGCAGCACCGCTGACGATGATGATGCTGTAGCAAAAAGATGCGGCTGAATGACAGATGATAAATGATGGCCATGATCAGCATAGTGGCACATTGTTGATGGTTAAGGTGGTACGATGAGGTTCCTGACATTGATAATGATGATGATGATGCTGGTGGTGACGATGGCTGTGATGACGCTGTTGCTGCCGCTGGTGGTGCTGGTGGTGGTGTTGCTGAGGTGGTGCTGGTGGTGGTGTTGCCGAGGTGGCGCTGGTGGTGCTGGTGCTGGTGGCGGTGGTGGTGGCAGTGGTGGTTGCGGTGCTGGTTTTGTGATCATGCCTGTGTGGCGACGGCGAAGATGACAATGTTGTTTTTGCTGCTGCTGCTGATGATGATGATGATGGCGGCGGCGGCGATGCCTGTGATGCCTGTGATAGTGGTGATGGCTGCGACAAGTTTTGCATCGATCACGAAGGCCATACCTCTGCGAGTCCGTTTGAAGCTCGGATGTAGGGTGGATCAAATCTTTAGCATACATCCCTTGTGGATAAGGCCTTAGAGACGTGATGGCGCATCCCTTGCCGGCACTTGGCCATGAAAGCTTTCAGCTATTTGGCCCCGAAAACCTGCGGCATCAGAAGACTCGGAAGACAGTGAAACTAATTCGTGTGTCAAGGGCAAGCTCAAGCGCACTCGTAGGCTAGATTCGAAGGTTTAGGCTGGAATGTTTGAGGGCCGAATAAATCCGTTGTTCTCTGCCTGACACCACATGCTCACAAGCTCCCAATGCTACATTAATTTGGTTTAAAAGGTTCCATGTAGCTTGCAGAGTTGTGGCCCAAATCTCGTGCCTATAGGCGGCTTGTTCTGAACCTGAACTGCCTAACCAAGCAGAATCTAAAACACTAGGTTGTGCATTCTGAGGAATCACTTCCGCTCAAGAGCTCTCGATGCGGGCACAGAGGCTTTCAATGCTGCCATTAGCGCCTGCGAGAAGGCAGCTTGGCATGCAAGAATCACATGAAACTCATCAACATTCGTCATCGTGCGGTCAGCAAAACGGTTTTGCAGCAGAGTTGTAATGCACAAGTCGGTGAACTTGAGGTCTCGTTTAGACAGTTCAGGCAAACACCATGCAAGCTTGACGCATATTTCAAGAGCTTGTTCAAGCCCCGAGGTTGTTAGTTGGACCTAGGTTACGGGGCTTTTGTTTCAGAACTATGTGTCGTTTGCATGCCTGCAGGGTTTCGGGAGTGCGCACCTCGAGCGGCTATTTATGCGGCATTCAAAACCCATCCTGCAACAGCGCGCTTTGTTTTTGCGTAAGACAGTGTCTCAAGAAATCGTGAATGCCGAGGGCCACTTCCGAGTAGAATAGTTTTTTTTCATGAAGGCGTCGATCAGTACGCCCAGACTGTCGCCAAAGCCTCGCTACAAACACCACGCCATGCCTGAGTCGAGCGAACTAGCTTACAACTCGACGTTAGATGCTCATGGACCGGAAGTTCGAACAGCTCGAAAGCCTTTGTCCTTCTGAGGGTGGATTGCATTGTCTTAGTGGTTTCGTTGCAATTTAAGGTCTTGTGCATGAAACATTATCCGGTCTCGTGCGTTCTGGCAGGGAGCTGCGTGGCAAGCTGCTTTGGTGGTTGTGGATGCGATGGAGGACGGATCTTGCAGTGGTGTGGAATGACAGCTCCTGTGGCTGCCGCTTCTGTTGCCGCTGCTGCGCTTTTCCTCCTCCGTCTCGTCTATCCCTGCCTGCTTCGACAGGGCCGTTCCGCCGCCTCTATACCACGTCGACTACCACGCTACTTCCACCAGTCCCACACCACAACCACGCCGCCGCCACCCCGCCAGCACAGGCAGCAGCACCACCGCGACTGCTAGTCTTGCTGTTACGACGACGACTTCCAGGTTGCCGTACCAGTACTGGACGACTGCTGCTACGTCGAAGACGAGCGAAAACGATGCGTACAAGGGACGACGCCGACGAGGACATCGTCGACGACCGTGGCGGTATTGCTGATGGTGCTGCTGCTTCTCTTGCTCTGAACAGTGCGACTTTTACTACGACGAAGACTCCTTTTGATGCTCATGCAAAGAGACAACTAGCCAGCCGACTTCTCGACGATTTAGCAGGTGGGCTGGCCCTTGTTGGGCCCCTTTTGACCCGTGCCATTCTGAATTCCATGTGGTCAGGTCTTTGGACATGCCTGATTTCTGATATCTTCACAACAAGCATTTGTTTTGCTTCTGAGGCCCTTCAAGCCTCGAACTAACCTAAGCCCTCCAGGCTGACTTGAGCTTCTTTCAACTTCCCAGTGCAGGATGCAAAGACTCCTCATTCTAGTCGTGGGCGGGCAGGTGAAAGGTCTGCTTTGGCTAAAGGATGGGTTAGGGCAGTTTATAGGGTTCGGAAGAATGTCCAAAGGCGGTTACATTGTACATTACGCGATTATGCATTCCTCGTTGAGGAAGCCGCCGTGCAGAAAGACATCATCACCTGCAATTCAGCATCTTGCATGGAGATTTTGACAAGAAAAAACCTTGGAGGTTGGTTGGGGCTATTTGGCCAAGGGCTTTGGTTGTAGGGTTAGGGATCAGGATTTACGCATGTTTACGGTTTCGGGTGAGTTGAGGCTAAGGACTTTGACACGTTGGGTTGTAGTTCTCCATAAGTGTGAGAACCAAGCAGAAGCCGTCAGTGGCAGCATGCTAAATGGGCTTGAACTTTGTCCACGACTTTCGCTTCTGCCTTTGTGCGATGCCATTGGATCCCTCGAATCGAGCGAGTGGAACTCAGGTTATCGGCGCTTGTGGCAAAGGTGGAAGATGGGAGGCACTCCGTAGGCTGAGATATTTACGGTCTCGGGGCCCAGGGACTTAGGCTGAAAAGTTTAGAGTATATATGTCACCGGAGTTGTCCGTCCAATCACTGCAAGGTGGGTCGGTGCGATTGTTTCATCTCGAAGGGTTCAGACCATTTGCACGAACGTTGCATGAGCACTGAATACGTTGAATACATAGGTCCGACTCAATACTGTAGTGCTAGTTTTAGAGAATAGAGAACCTCCAAAACCCCAATTTAGAACCACGTGGGAAAACGAGGAATTACAGGTTCGCAGGCGTACGGACGAATAGGACAAATGTGGAAATAAGAAACGTACATAGACGAAAAAACAGGGGAAACATAGAAGTAGCATAACAAGGCATGGGAAACGTAGGCACAACCTGAGGCAGAACGCTGGAAACAAGGCAGGGCCACAGTGTAAAGGAGCACGGGGGGTTGGGGGGTGGGCAGGGCAGGGGTTCTATTTTTCCTACATTTATCCTATTCTATCTCTGTTTCCGCAAAGCCAGGATCCCTATGTGTGGTCCTAGTTTTATCCTATTTTGGGCCGCTTGTAACTTGACTAGAGTTAGCACAAGAGTCGGACATAAGCATAGTACTCACACGTCGACTGTCTTACAGGACAAGTATCCCGGCAACTTGGCCGAGCAGCACGCGACATAGAAACTAGAGCGGCAAAGCAGGTCTATACCAGAGAAGTTGTCCAGACAGCGAAACAGACACAGGGCCTCTGCAGTAGGTCAATGCTCCTGATGAGAAGGGTCCCCGCTTGCCAGTCTCTCGTGCGCAGCACTAAACGCTGGTCTTCTGTGTGGAAGTTGTAAACCTCCCCCAAGCCTCCTCACCGAATCCTGCCGCGGAACACGGCGTCTAGATAAAAGCCTTGCAACCGTACACTTGTACATGATTACTACGGTCTGTCTCTATCCAGGCGCTCTACAGAGCTTGTCCGTTGTGCGGGACTGCTGGTCAGACTGTTTCGAGAGACATGTGTGCACACGTACCGTACTGAGAGGAACTGATAGGAGGGGTGAGGGGGGTAGGGACGGAGGCGAGACAGAGAGACAGAAGCCAAAACACATCTAGAACCTAAGCCCAATCGCCAGAGTTTGTCTGGTGCCATGCCTCTTCCAGGTGGCAGTTCATCTTCTTGCCGAAGCGGCCGCGAGTCTTGGCTGTCATTCATGCCAGCCTCCATCGAAACACCCGAGCTGGAGACACCGAAGCTTCAACCGCTGCTTGATTTAGCTCGACGGAACAGGTTTTAAGTCTGGTGTTGAATCTTTTAACGAAGCGAAACTGCACCAACAGCAAATCGCAGAAACATGATGTAGCCGGCAAAAGCAGACAGTCAAAATATCTGGTTGGATCACAAGTCTTGCAGTGTGGACGCGATGTTTGTGCGATGATCTGTTGTGGTACTGTAGTGGGCCCCTGCGGAGTGGTGATATTCAAGAGAGGTTCGGTCCAAGGATGCTTCGCGGCGCGATAGTTTGTTGACCTTCCGTCTCAGCGAAAGCTAATTATGTCATTTATTGGGCAAGATTTGGGTCAACGTGTCAGTTATCGGTGCAAGGCTGCTGGCTGTGAGGGTGCCGTGAAGTTGGCATTGAAATCCATTTGAGCCAACATGTTTGATACTTGAGGGTCACTGGTATTCCGCTATCCTCAGCCCCACTCTTCAGTCCGAGACCACCACTTGACTCAAGCCCGTAAATCGAAATATCAAAGGTTGATGCAGAAACAACCACGAATCCTTTCAATGCATCACCCAGGTCGAGCATCGAGCGTGATCGAGTTTCATACTACACTGCCGGGACCTTGCCTTATCGTCGTCGCAGTCGTTGTAGTAATAGTGTTAGCAGAGCAACAGCACTAGCAGTAGTAGCAGTAGTAGCAGTAGTAGCAGTAGTAGTAGTAGTAGTAGTAGTAGTAGTAGTAGTGGTTGTTGTTGCTGTGGATGATGTTGTAGCGGTAGCACTTACAGTAAGACAACAGACTAACACTGACAGTAACACGACACCAGCAACAACAACAAACATCAAGCAGTACTAGGACCGGTACTTCCACCAGTACCGGTATCGGTACCGGTAGTAACAGTAGTAGTAGTAGTAGTAGTAGTAGTAGTAGTAGTAGTAGTAGTAGTAGTAGTAGTAGCAGCAGCAGCAGCAGGAGCAGCAGTAGTAGTAGCAGCAGCAGTAGCAGCAGCAGCAGTACTAGTCGTAGTGGTAGTTGAAGTCGTAGGCGTAGTCGTAGGCGTAGTAGTAGCAGTAGCAGCAGTAGAAGCAGTAGTAGCAGTAGTAGCAGTAGTGCCAGTAGTAGCAGTGATAGCAGTAGTAGCAGTCGTAGCAGTCGTAGCAGTCGTAGCAGTACTAGCAGTAGTAGCACTGGTAGCAGTAGTAGCAGTAGTAGCAGTAGTAGCAGTAGCAGTAGCAGTAGCAGTAGCAGTAGTAGTAGTAGTAGTAGTAGTAGTACTCGTAGTACTCGTAGTACTCGTAGTACTCGTAGTACTCGTAGTACTCGTACTACTCGTAGTACTCGTAGTACTCGTAGTACTCGTAGTACTCCTAGTACTCGTAGTACAAGTAGTACTCGTAGTACTCGTAGTACTCGTAGTAGTCGTAGTAGTAGTAGTAGTAGTAGTAGTAGTAGTAGTAGTAGTTGTTGTTGTGGCAGTAGTAATGCTGGCAGTGGCAGTGACGGTCGCAGTGGTAATGGTAGTGTTAATGTTACTGGTAGCCGTAGCGGTAGTGGAAGAAGAAGTAGGAGACAAGTATTGAAGTAGTAGTAGTTGTTGTTGTTGTAGTTGTGGTCGTGGTGGTTGTTGCTGCTAACAGAAGTAAACTAGCAACAGTAACAGTACGAGGAGACAGATCAACATTGCAGAAACAAAATGTTTGCTAGGCATCCAATTGCCATGCAGTTGCTCTTGCAGTTTTCCTGGTTTTGTTTGTTTTTTTTGCTTTCCTGGTGCTCAGGAATGCCATTGTCTTTTGGGGTTTGCTGTTTGTGGTGTCTCGGCTTGGTACGTCGGAAAAGTATGTACAGATTCTCCTGATAGGTGCTTCGGTCTGGCATGCCGTCCAAGCTGGCGTTTCTGCTAGACGTTTCGGTTTGGCTTGTGTGAAAATGATGTGTTCCCAAGAGGCGTTTCTGTTTGGATTGTCCGAACATGACGTGTTTTGTGCGAGCCACTTGTGCTTGTTTGTTTTGCAACTGGGTTTTGCTGAAGTCTGCTTCTGAGCGCCATCTTGGATGCAACTGTGTAGCGTGAGAGCGCCAGATTTACAGACGGCCCGGCAAGAAAGGAATCCGGGCCGCAGAACCGAACAGCAGAAAAACACTTGAGGCTGGCGCTGGGACACAACCACATCCGGGGAAGCCCAAAACCAGGAAGGGCTAACATGACACCAAGCAAAAGCTTTGCAAGATCAGGCTCTGCCACGCAAACCACCGAAAAGCATACCAAATACCAAAAGCAAACGCAAACGGGACGGATTCACCAGCAAACGCAGACGGCATCACACCAAAACGGAATGGCAAAAACGAGGACCAAGAAATAAGCGACGCAGACATGGCAAACGAAAACACCGAGACGATACAAACGTACATGTGAATGGCAACCGGGATCAATAAGTATTCAGGCAGTGATGGCGAACGAGAGCCCCGACGGCAAATAACACAAGCGAGCAGCAAAACAAGTAATACGAAAGCGGAATGGCGGATGCCGACACTACGATAAAATCAAGCGGGAACGGAGAAAAACAACCTCCAACCACCCCCATTCAGGGTACGAAGGTCAGCCACCAGCCATTGTCATTATCGCAGGATTGCCAGTAAATATCACCAGGTAGCAACCATGGAAGCAAGAATAGCTTAGTATTGCTGAGTTCGCTCTACTATTGAGGATGCGTTACACCAGCACGGCCGTAGTGGGAATGATCAGAGCCTAAGTGCTCATGGCCGCGGGAGAAGTACGAATTGATGTGTCGCGGCCACGGTACCGGACCCAGGACTGCGCCCCTAAACTCTTCATTAAACCCTAAACCCCTAAACCCCGAAGCTCTTAAGCCCTAAACCCCTAGTAAGATATTTCTACGAGTGGGACGGAGCAGTCGCAGCGGCCTGGAGAGCCACATCCTGCATAGAACTGGCGGGTCCATTCCTGGATGGTTTCTTGCAGTAAGGGATCTTTGGTTGAGTTAGACGTAGGCGCTGCCACTTCGTACCAGGAACACACCGCATCAGAAAGCCCGGTGGCGCATACAACAGCCCGTTGAGGCAATTCAAGCTTGCGAAACCTGCGGCGAGTGGTCCAGCGCCCTGCTTCTGCTGCAGAGTTTGGTGATGTCAGGCCCGCGGAGGTGGTTCTGTGTGTGGTCGTTGTCGTCGTTCTCGTCGTTGTTGTTGTGGTTGCCGGGTGGTGGTGGTGGTACTGGTGGTGCTGATGGTCCTGGTGGTGCCGGTGGTTCTGGTGGTGGTGCTATTGCTATTGTTATTGTTATTGTTGCTGTTGTTGCTCCTGCTTCTGTTGGTGTTTTTGTTGTTGCTGTTGCTGTTGCCTTTGCTGTTGCTGCTGTTCTTGTTATTGTTCTTGTTCTTGTTGTTGTGGTTGTTGTTGCTGTTGTTGTTGCTGTTGTTGTTGTTGTTGTTGTTGCTAGTGTTGTTGTTGTCGTTGGTGGTGGTGGTGGTGGTGGTGGTGGTGGTGGTGGTGGTGGTGGTGGTGGTGGTGGTGGTGGTGGTGGTGGTGGTGGTGGTGGTGGTGGAGGGGTGTTGCTGGTGTCGTTGTTGCTGCTGCTGTTGTTGATGCTGCTGCAGGTGTCGTTGTTGCTGTTGTGGTCGTCGTTGCGGTCGCCGAAGTTGTTCTTAGTGTTGTTGTTGCTGCTGCTGTTGTTGTTGCTGCTGCATCGGTGGTGGTGGTGACGGTAGTGGTGGTGGTGCTGTTGCTGCTGCTGGTGCTGCGTGTTGCTTGTTGCTTGTCTCGTTGCTTGTTGTTTTTTGCTTGTCTTGTTGCTTGTTGCTTGTTGCTTGTTGTTCGTCGTGTGTCGTGTGTTGATTGTTGGTGGTGGTGTTTGTGTTGGTCGTTGTTTGTCGTTTGGTGTTCTTTGTTGCTTGTTGTTATTTGTGTTTGGTGTTTGTGTCTCTGTTGTTTATTGACTGTTGTTTGTTGTTTGTTCTTGTTTGTTGTTTGCTGTCGTTGTTTGTTGAGCTTTGATTGTTTATTGTTTGTTATTGATTTGTTTGTGTGTTTGTTGTTAGGTGCTTCTTGTCTTTTGTTGTTGCTGTTGCCTTTGCCTCTGGTGTTGTTGTTGTTGGTGGTGGTGGTGGTGGTTGTGCTGCTGCTGCTGCTGATGATGCTGATGATGCTGATGATGCTGATGATGCTGATGATGCTGATGATGCTGATGCTGCTGCTGATGCTGATGCTGCTGCTCCTGTTGTGGTTGTTGTTGTTGAAGTTGGTGGTGGTGTTGTTATTGGTGGTGGTGCTGTTGCGGCTGCTGCTCCTGCGCTCGCTGCTGCTGCTGCTGCTGTTGTTGTTGTTGTTGTAGCCGCTATGGATCACAGCAGGCTGTGTAGCTTTGCTAACAAGGCTCTGGGTACCAACGCTAGAGGCTCGCAACGGCCCCCTTCTGCGAAGCTTAAGGGACTGTCCTCTCTCTGAGCCATAGCTACTCCCGGAGCCGCGTGTCGCTGTGATCCACCGGGTCCCAATTCCCGGGCCTTTGTCTGCAGTTATACAACCTTGGCAAGAGGTAAGCGGTAGTGGTTTTCACCTCCTCCGCAGGGTGAAGAGAGTCGGATTGAGTTCTCTTTTTCTGGCGAAACTAGCGGAAGGCGCGTCGACTGTGCCTCAGTGTTTTTCTCCTGCCGATGCTTTTACATTTACAAAAGGACCTGACGCACCAAGCCATTCAAGGGGCGGCCCCAGTCATGGGTTGGCCATCTTCTGCACCTGGGTATCCTGAAGGAAGCTTTCGAGTTGAGGCCTCGTTCCGTTCCTCTCTTCGACTTTCCAGCTACACGACAAGACACCCAGGTACAGCTCCAGGTCTTTCCTGCGCAGTTTTGCTGGCGCTCTGGTTTTGCGCTTTCACTGGTACACCTCCGCAAGAAGGACACGGATTGTCTGGTATTCTCATGCAGTCTTCTTCGAGCACTAGTTTTTCCTTCAACGGCACAGTGGACTGCCACCGGCTGCTACGAAGCCAGTGCGATCGAGAGTTCTCCGTCACGGTTGAGTGTTTTCTGCGCTTCACTTCTGTTCAGCCGCCAGCGCCTGGGAGCAAGTCAGACTCAGGACAGGCTAGGCGCAACGTGGTGACTCACAACGCGTCAGCATCCTCCCAATGCTGGCCCCGACGGGCATTCCAGGGACTCCTTTTGCTAAGGGGTGCCCTTGTGGGCCTAGAGGGGCTATCCTCTCTGGAAGGGGAGGCCTCTCGGGGGCCGCCGGGCCAGACTTGTCTACAAGACAAGGCGCAGATTGGGACACTGGGGACTCAGGTTCAGCAGAGTTGGCCAACGTCTTCAGTTCCAGCACGGTGTCTACCTGGTACGGCTCCACGTCACATCTGGGTACAGTCGTTAAGCGGACGCGCTTGCTGTGCTATGGGTGTCGGGCTACGGCTACGGCCCTCCCAGGTGTGTTCGTTACTGTCCTGTTACCGACGGGGTCAGGCAGTGCTAGGAGTGACGGCCCACGTGTTTTTGCTTGACGACGAATTATCCTTACGGCCCATCGCTGGTAGTCGGGAGTTACCTAGTGTGGGACGCCACTAGACGGGAACTCTGGGAGACGGCTCTTCTGAGTACGACCCACCGGCTGCCAGTTCGTGAGTATTGGACGCAATGACTCACACTGAGGGTGACGGAGGCTACATGACGAAGACCTTGTGAGTCGGGCTGTCACATTAGGAGTCGAGGGCAACGCCCGTGTCGGATAAAGGCAACGCCTTTGGAGGCAACGCCCTAGTCAGATACAGGCAACGCCTTTGGAACTGTCGTCACTTCAAGTGGCCTCTCCCCGTGAGGCTGGTGCCTAAGAGCTGTTGCTGCTGTGTACAGTCTGCAGTACTGCTCTTTTGACTTAGGCCCTACTCTTTTAACTTTAAGCAACGGCTCCTCTTCTTTCCTTCTCTGAGGATCCTATAGGGGTTGTTCGGTCTTTTCTGATGGTTCTGTTTGGTTAGTTTGCTTGTTGGCATGCCTGCCTGAGGCCTCGGAGCGAAAGTGAGTTTGGCTCGTTGCTCCAGAAACGGATGAAGGAGGTACCTGCGATTATCGCTGGGCAGTCCCCTCGCGCAATTTTAGGCGCCACAGTCTGTTTCTTGTTTACAAGGCCGCCGGGTGAAGACCGCGTAACCTCTATTGGAATGTCGGCAGGTAGATTCTAACGGAGTGGTGCTGGCTCACGGCACACTTCCGAAGTTTCTGCACGCCCGCAATGAGCAGAGCCCGCTCGCTCAGCGTTCAATAAAATTGTTGTTGTTGTTGTTGTTGTTGTTGTTGTTGTTGTTGTTGCTGTTGTTGTCGTCGTTGTGTTGTGTTTGTTGTTGTTGTTGTTGTTGTTGTTGTTGTTGTTGTTGTTGTTGTTGTTGTTGTTGTTGCTGTTGTTGTTGGTGGTTTAGAAGCTGCCCCCACCCTGTAATAGTGGTATAATAGGAATATAATAGGGCCCTAATATAATCCTATATAATCCTCATGGTCACTATTACAGGGTGGGGGCCCCTTCTAATTGGTGGTGATTTTGAGGTTGGTGGTCTTGTTGTTGTGGTGGTTATTGTTGTTGTTGTTCTTGGTGGTGTTGTTGTTGTGGTTACTGTTGTTGGTGGTGGTGGTGGTGGTGGTGGTGGTGGTGGTGGTGGTGGTGGTGGCGGTGGTGGTGGTGGTCGTGGTGGTGGTGGTGGTGGTGGTGGTGGGGTGGTGGTGTTGGTGTTTGTGCTGATGTCGTCGGTGGTGGTGTTGTTGTGGTTATTGTTGTTGGTGGTGGTAGCGGTGGTGGTGGTGGTGTTGTTGGTGTGTGTTGGTTGTTGTTGCTTGTGGATGTTTGGTGTTTGGTGTTGGCGCTTGTTGCTCATTGCTTGTTCTTTGTGTTTGGTATTTGGTGTTGATTGTTTGCTGTTGTTGGGTGTTTTCTGGCTATTTTGGGTGGTGATTAGTGATTAGTGACTTGTTGTTGTTGTCGTTGTTGTCACTGTTGTTGTCGGTTTTTATTTGCTACTGTTGCCGCTGCTTCACAGCTGCAACTGCAGTCACAATGACGGCGCTCAGCACTTTCATGACGACTGGCGTCAACGCTAAACAGAAAATATGCATGGTAAGTAGCGAGTAGACACGTGGGTGGTAGAGTTTGGCCGTGAAGGACTTTAACAGCATGTCCATCATGCTGGTTGCACTCATCATCGCTGTTTGAAGTTGTGTGTCAGCATGTCCTCACGTCTGTGCTTCCAATGTCTACTAAACAAAATTCAACTTGATTTGAGCATACTCCAGTTCGTTCTGCGTTTGACTGTACCCTGGCTGAACCTAGGAACCCTCGTCGTAACAGGATAGCCTTCACCGAGTCACCCAGAGCCCGAAGCCCTGCCGGCAGGTGTGCGAGACCATCTGGGTGCAGACAGTCTGTGGAGTGCTCAGCGCGCAGTGGTGGCACCAGTAGACTTCCGAAGCCATAGAACTCCAGACTTTAACCAGAACGACCTCAAGCTTCCATCCAGTGTGACTTCGTGAGTTGCGTGCGGACGGATTGCAGACGTGATATTGGGCTGACAATCCTATTTTGCTACGCCCTAGACACCCAAATGCGCAAGCCGGCGACTTCCAAAAGTTTGCATCCCAGGGATCGGCGCACTTACGTGCATGCCTTCCAAGCCGGCGACCCTATCGACTGCTTCAAACATGTAGTGCCTCGGATAGTACTTGATCAGACGGTTTCATTGCATCGTTGCGGCCCAATCCTCGGGATAAGTGCTAGCAACTGGGTTAAGCACTGGCTGATGGCTACAAGTACGGTTCGGACTTCGGAGTGACATTTATCTTTCTCACCTGGGCTGATCGCGACAATGACAAATCTCACGACTAACCACGGTCACCTCTATCGCTCCTTCGCTTTTCGGATTTCAGGCACAGTGAGCTCCAAGCTTCGGATGCAAACGCACCAGTGCAGAGTATGTTCTAGATTCGGGGCTTGGTTTCGGGCTTTTGATTTGCTCTTTTCAGCGGATCAAAAGGAGTTGTGCAAGTCTTGAGCTGAGAGTCACAGGATTCACTTTACAGGTTCATGCTTGTAGGCTACGGATGTCCCGGCTTGACTTGCGCAAGGTAAAGCTTCTCATCCCCTGGCTTTTGTTACGAGTTCCCCAAACCCTAAGAGCCGTGGGCCCTAACACCTTAGGCACCAAACAAGTTCCTCTGCTGGGACGATGCCCAGCTTGCAGAATCCTATGCCTCAGGGAAACGTATTCTTGGAACCAGCAGCATCCAGCACTGGCAGGTCTCAAGTTTTTAGAACTTGCAAACAGTCGAAAAACAACATGCCTTGAGCCATTCCAGCCCTTGCAAGTCAGGTTTACCTGAGCCTGTCGCAAGCGCTGATGGCATCGGAAGACCCGCTGACCATCGTGGACTGCCACGCAGGCAGGGGGATTCCGGGATTTGAATTCCTTAACCCCAGGCACAAACACGCAGGCGAGCAGCCGAGACTGCTCGTGAGACCGTTGGACTCAGCATTGGACCAGGCAGTGGCATCTACGATTTTCGCGGTCTGGCACCTGGCTTCCACAGGCCAGCTTGGAAAGACAATCTCACCCGCAAATCGGCATGTATGTGTTTGGCATATTGTGGTGAAGCGCGCATCTGCACACTTCGGACGCACCCAATGATTCATGCAGCTCTCTACGTGTTTCAAAGTTTCGTTGGGCTAGCTCTTTAGCTCCCTCTTTGCCTTTAGCCCTCTCTCTCCCTCTCTCCCTCTCTGTCTCATTTCCCTCTCTCCCTCTCTCCCTTTCCTCTCCTCTCCCGCTCCCCTCCCTCCAAGATTTGGTTGTCAAAAGGATCTATAGTTAGAGTCATAGTTGTAAAGCCTCGGTTCGATCGGTTTGCGATTGTCAGCGATTGTGCGCCGTACAACATTTCTAGGTGTTGCTGTTGGTGGTGCGATGCGGTTCGATACCCCCTCCAGCCACACCCACGGTGGCTGGTGGATGGGGTGTAGTGGTTGGCTACTTGTATCGTTCTTGAACCCCGATCTCGCGAGGGCTAGGGAGACAGAGGTGTAGCGTCATTATGCGTTTCCATACGTGAGCTTTCGGCCGCCATCTGCTGCTCGTGGTGCTCTGCTGTTTGTCGGTATCCTGGTCTGATCAGCCTGCACGGGGAAAGCAGGAACTTCGAGGATGGGATCTTGCATCTCCTGTCCTGCAACGGTGTTCCGGCGGGCCGCCACGCGCTGACACCCGCAGCTACTTGTCAGAACGGAGTTGCGGGGGTGGGGCTTCGTCGATTCGGGCTTTGAGGTTTCACGTACGGCTCTGGACGGGCAAGGCCGCGATCCGTGCGACTCGGGGGTTTTCGCTGTACCGACGCATACTAGCTTGACTTCGCAAAGGAGCAGAGTTAGGCCAGACTGACACAGCCCACGTATGCGAGTGCTGGCTTAATCTTCTTGAAGCCAAAGTGACAGGTTTGCACGTGTGTGTGTGTGTGTGTGTGTGCGCTTGATATATACGCAGAGGCAGAGCAAAAGAGAGGTATACCTTGCGGGGAGCTTCGTACTGGATGTAAGGACAGTTGCGCGCTATGTGATTATGCGGGAAAGTAAGAGCGGCGCCCGCGCTGAATTGAAAGCGCCTCAAAGGTCTGCCAATACCTGGAGATTCAAAGACGGATCAACCGAAAAGCTTCTCAGGGAGGCAGACTTGCTTTGTGCTTCACATGTCGCTGCTCGAACGTTCGCATTCCCAGCCTGAATCCTGTTTCTACGACTTGCAGACTGTGGAGTCACATCCACACTTCATCAAAAGACCTCATTGCTTGCTCTGTTCAAGACTTGAAGACCGACACTTACCAGAAACTTTAAACCCTCATAACCCGTTAGTTAACCATCATTGGAGGCCGGCCTGAACTGGACCTTTTTGCCGGCTCGGCCGTGTTGGCTGCGCAGGTGCGTCGGTCACAGGACAGGGAGACTTGGCACGATTTCGGATTTATGGTACGCATCGAGGACCAAAAGCTATTTTAAGGTTTAGGTAGTTTGCTTCGGGGAACAGCTTGGGGTTTCGTTTTTATGATCGAACGAACTTGCTGTGGCTGTAGTTCACCTGAATTCAGGATTCAGGGGGTATGGGCTCGTCGGGGGCACTGCCGAAGAGAAAGTTTCTGAGATTAACGACACAGGCCCGCCTTCTCATGAGCTCTGCACACTGTCCCGTACCTTCCTATGGGCTCCTGCGAAGCTAGACGGATCAATCGCTGACTTCGCACCCAGTCTTTGAACCAAAGGCCGTCGGCACCCCACCTAAACTGAGGTACTGTTGTTCGAAGCTTCTCCCGTGGTATATGGAGACCTTGTTCAGAACCTGGAGACTTTGGCAGGCCGGCTGTTGATGGTCTCGGGTTGATTTCGGGCTCTGGGATCCTGATTTGGGTTGTCAGGGTTTTTGTTGCGTGTCGTTGGTTTGAGTTGTATTGCCTCCTGGTTTTCCGGCTTCTTGGTTATCTTGCTTCGGTGTGTTGGCTTCTAGCTTCTTGGATTCCTGGCTTATTTGCTTCTAGGCTTTGTGGATGCTTGGTTCTTGGCCTTGTGGTTTATTGGCTTCTTGCCTTCCTGGCCTTCTGGCTTTCCGGCTTCTTGGCTTGTCCGGCTTGTGCCATACTTAACCTTTCTGTTGTTCTCTCTGTCTCTCTCCCTCCCTCCCTCCCTCTACCTGGGTGTACATCTGTTGTTATGTGCACATGACGGCTAGCTCATATCGCACGTGCTTTGAAGGTATATGCGTAAAGCGTATGTCTGTACCAATCTCTGTCTCTTCCTCCATATCTAAATATCTGTCTCTCTCGCTGCACCTCTATATCGGCATATCTACATACCATGCTATGTCGATACCTGCCGATATCCACTTCCCTCCATCTCTTCATCTCATTGCGTCTACATATCGTATATCCACGTATCTGCATATCTATCTATCTATCTATCTATCTATCTATATATATATATATATATATATATATATGTCGGCCCCGCTAGCTAACCTACCTACCTACCTACCTACCTACCTACCTACCTACCTACCTACCTACCTACCTACCTACCTACCTACCTACCTACACACACACACACTACACACATACATACATACATACATACATACATACGTACATACATACATACATACATACATGCATACATGCATACATACATACACACATACATACATACATGCATACATACATACCCACATACACACATCCACACATACACACATACGTACATGCATGCATACATATGTACTTGCAATCACACATACGGACATACATACAGCACATACATACACACATACATGCATGCATACATATACGCACGCACACACACACACACATACATATGCGCACACGTACACACCCACGCACATAGATACATGCATACATGCATTCATACATACATACACAGACATGCACAGACACACGCCTACATACATACGGACGTACGTGTATACATGCATGCATATATACATGCATACGTACATGCACACATATATGCACACATATATGCACACACACACACACATCTACATGTTGCCCATGTATCTATACACAGATGCATCTAGCTTACATGAACATATCTGTACATGTACCGGCTACACACACACACACACAGCTCCTCGCATGCTGCCACCTGTACCATGTGTGCCAGCTTCTTGCTTCTCGGCTCAGACACACCTCAAAAATGACAACAAAACTTTGCATTCTATAGCGGGTCCCCACGGTTCCCATACTAGTCTGCTTGGCACAGGTGTTCACCAGGGGCCAATAAATGCAAAGATTCATAGCCTCAGAAGATTGCAGAGACCCAAGGCCCTGGCCAGGCACTTTCCGGGCATGCCAAGAAAATCCGTAGCCTGTAGATTCTGCTGAGAGATGAGTTATTTGCGACAAAGAGCATGTGTTTTTGTGGCCCATGATATGTTGTGGCAGTTTTTCCTGCAACAAGGTAGTTCCCCCCTGGACGGCATCCAGACGTGACGTGCCATCGATGGTTGCGGTTTTCCGAGAGCTCTTTCCGGATTCGAGACATGCGGTATCCGGTATCAGCAATGCCGACCTTGACTCCAAAACGCCGCATTGTCGACCCTTGACCCTTGCTTCTTAAAACCAGCAGTCCAGAAATTTCCCATTGGTTTGAGCATCATTGAAGTGGCCAGTCTTTACGAGCGGTAGCTCCGTCCTGTGTGCATATGTTGTAACGTCCCGAAACACGCTCTCGTTCTCTGTCTCCGTTTCTCACTGTTCCGCCGCAAAACTGCAATGCCGCAGCTCGGAAATTGAAAGCCTCATCCCTGCAGTGCCAGATCTCTTTGCTCAAGCATCGCTGGCATACCAACAGCCTCAACAGGACCCAATTTTACCCAAGGTTCTGTGATGATTCCTACCGGCGGCTGCTTCAGGCCGATGCAGCACTCTTCAGAGGCAGAGGGTGCCATGGCTCACCAAAGTGCTGTCGTCGTCGGAGAAACATTTAATGATGATTTACGAGTCGCCTGTGCCAGGTATGCTTTGGGAATCTAGCTGAGGATTTGTCGTTGCAGATTGATACGCTGGTGGCCATCGCGGTTTTGTTTCGTGTGGCTTCGTATGTGATGCATATATATATATATATATATACATACATACATACATGCATACACACATGTGTCCGTGTATGTACGTATGTATGTACGTACACAAGAGTGTATGTGCGTACGTATACGTATCTGTGTTTGTATGTTTGTATCATGTATCTGTTTTATGTATGTATATATGTATGTGTGTATGCATGCACGTAGGTATTCATTTATGTATTATGTCTGTCAATATACGTGTCTATGTAATTATGTGTGAGTGAGTATATGCATGTATGTGTATGTATGCATGTACGTATGTATATGTGTCAGTGTGTTTATGTGTTTTCGGCCTGTAAACCATATCTATATCTGTCTATCTGCCTGCCTGTCGATTTACCTAGTATATATCTATCCAACAATCTATATACATATGTATGTACACATATATATATATGTATATATATATATATATGTAGTTAGTATGTGTGTGTGTGTATATATATATATATATGTATATGTATATGTAGTATGGCATACATACGTGTTCCCATACCCTTGGATCAACCTTGTAAACTGCCGTGTACCATCCTTGCGAATCTGGTCTTCAACTTGCGTGTGTGATGTGACGTACATACGGAGGTACATGGCTATCGACATGCCTTTCGGCCTTCTCGTCTCACAGTTTCTGCCTCCATCTGACTTTGTCTCTTTTTCCGTCTAGCACCTTCACTCTCCCTCTCATCTGTGGTGTCTCTCGCTCTCTCGCCTGCTCACTTTGCCTATTTCCGCTGCAAACAAACAATTTGATATTTGCGCATGTCCGTCTGACAGGCTTCTTCACAGAAACTGTGTGCGCGGTTGCTGGAATGTCTTTGCTTGATGGTGTGTTCTTGCGCTTTGCTTTTGTTGCTGGTCTGGACATTATTTCGGTCGTGCAACTTACTTGCAGTTCATTGCCTCCTTGTTTACGTGTTTACATCTTAGCACTGATCGCATCTGGCAAACTAGCTCGACTGTCTTACGAGATGGTTTTGCCGTGCTACATGCTTGTGACAACTCTACTACTTGTTGGTGTTGTAGCAGAAGCATGATGTGACTTGCATCACCCGACCTGACGCCTCAAGTTCTTCTAACATTATACTTAAGGATCGTCTTCATCGACCCGCCCTACGACTCAGTGACTCGATCTCAACAGCTTGGAGCGAGAACATGACCGCCGCCAACAAGAACTCTCTTGTTTCAAGCCATGACCACACAGCTCAGGAAGATCGTGCAGAAGCAAATGCACGAGATGTAACGTAAGCTCGAAGCCAAGCCAGGACGGACACTTGCGCAGCATGGTGAGCGTAGATGCTGACGAAATGTCAGGGAAAGCTTGCCGTACATCGAGGTTCCGCAAGTAGCATCTCTAGCCCTGTGCGTGCAGTTAGTCCTTGTGTCGTAGCACACTTGCCGTCACGTCTCCGAAGTCGACGGCAGATGCTAGTGCTCCAGGCTCAACTGCTGCTACGATCCTGAACGAATTTTCCTGAATGTGCATGATACCCTCATCCCAGAGAGTTTGAGGTGAATTCCTTTCACATCTGGAACCTTTTCATGGTCCAGTTCCTGCGAAGACAATGGCCGGAGACTCGGAAGTGCTCGTAAGCAACGAGAACGGAGGAAGGGCTTTTCAACATCGCCAGAAGTCCGACACGAGCAACAGAACGGGCGCAAACCCACATGTTCTGAGACATGTTATGGCTACGGGCCCCGAGCATCCTGCTGGCGAATTTGAGCGAAACCGCAGCCTATCCCTAGAGCTTCCTCATGCAGTCTGCCTCACAGGCTCAGTGGATGAATAGGTCAGTGAATGACAAGAACCCTGGCTTTTTGCGAGTCAGGGTTCGTCGGAATCACGCACAGAGCAATTTGCAAGTACGACTTTGGACATCAGAGCAGTCCGGAAGTTGGGACGTCAGGGCCCAGGCTGTATAGGGAGCTTGGGATATGCGTTGTTTTGGGGTTACGCGGGATGTTGTGAAGCGAGAAGGAATCATGAGCTTTTCGTTTTGCGGGGCGGCGTGGCGACGCATCTTTTGCACTCCTGTGCTACCCAGCAGGGTTCCAGGCCCAATTCTCTTTGGACAGAAGCTGCGCAGCGGGCTTGTTCCTTACTTTGCTGATTACCGTACCCCTAACATGTCTGCACCAGGGAGCCAGCTTCACACCGCAGCAGACCTACTTAATCCCAAATCCAAGTTCCCTTTCCAGCAATGAAGTAGCGGTGATAGCATTGAAGCTCGTTATGGTGATCAGGTTCTCGTGGTCGGAATAAGGACGGCTCGTCTCCGCAAGTCTAACCCTTAAATTTGTTTCCTTAAACGCCCGAGCGTCTGCTACAGAAGGCCTGACTGCATCGTCGCTCTCTGGTACCCTTTCATCGATGCGGTGCAAACGGCCAACCTACTGGCGCGTCTCGCAGAGCTCGGAGCCTCTGCTTTGTTCGTCATAGTTGAATGCTAGAAGAGTGAAGCATAGCAAAGCTATAGTGGTTTGCTAGCAGGGTAAGAAAACTGTAAAGTAGAAATAATGCCAGACATCTGTGAAGCAGCAGACCAGCACGAACGATACTGCTAAAGCCTGTCGGTGGTGGCTTTTGTTCGTTGGCGGTCTGTGTGCTGGTGAGTCCCCTTCGTGGCCTTTCAAACGGTGCCTCGGCCAGGATAGTAGATGCATGTTCCAGTGGCATATTTTTTCGTAATTGCACCAACCAAATCCTATGCCTCAAGCCCAAGCACCATGTGCTGAATCCCTCAACATGTACCCCCTTCGGCAGACAGCTCCTGCAGACTAGCACTGAACGGCAGGAAAGTAGGGGATACAGCGAGTTTTTGCTCGCGGACACACCTTAATCGGAATGGGCTGGAGCTGCTGTGACCCCGAACAAATCTCATATGTCTCGTTTGGAAGACATCGACATCGAGCAAGTAGCAGCAAGTTTGCCGTGCCCCGTATTGTCTATCTGCTTCCCACGCACGATGGTTTGGGATTCATTGGTAGGGTCTCAGCGCTTGGCCCCGACCTCCTCTGCAGGTAGAGGTGATGTGCTTGTGGCCGAGATGGAGGCTCGCGCAGCAAGACCGGGTTCAGCGTTTGGATTTCAGATGAAGCCTTCAGAAGGTGGGCGAGCAGCTAGTTGTTGACTTGCGTCGGGATTGGGGTTCGGAGCCTGTACTGTTTGGAATCCAACTGGAGAACCCTTCTTCAAAGTAGGAACATCGCCGTCTGCACAGGTCGAGAGGCCTTCCTCAGAGCAGCAAAGCCGATCCGGCACCTTTGCAGGAACATGGGTCTTCCAGTCTTCCAGCGTGGGCACGGGACGTAGCAACGGCGGCACTCCGAGCCGCCGCTCAAGGAAACCGCTCTGGCAGCTTACTGTCGTTGGCTGCCATGCTGCTCGTGCTGTTGGTGGTGGTCGTGCAAGTAGTAGTGCGGTCGTGCTGCATTCTGGTGGTGCTTGGTGGTCGTGGTCGCTGTCTTTGTCAATATGTTGTTTGTATTGTTGCTGTCGTCGTCATGGTTGTGGTCGTCACGGTGCAGGCCGATCGAGTCGTGCGTTCCCCGCAGTTTGTTTTGTCTTCTTTGCACACCGCACATATAACAGAAGCTCACAAAAGATAGAGCGGGTGAAGGGCCGGATGGGGTGGCCAACGAGTGTCCTGCCTTGCACGCTTAGGTGTGGCCCTGCTGGGCGCACCGGGGCAGTTGGAGTGCCTTCCCTAGCTGTCATTTAGGGACTGTAGCATCTCCGCAGAGTTACAAAGGTTTTTCATGAAGGTTTTGCGAGCGTTCAGTGAATTCAAATCGTTCCGGGCTCGGTCCAGGGATGTGAATTGCAGCCATTTGTGATTTCAGGAGCCGGAGCTCGTAAAATTGCTTGTGCAGACGTGTAGCTCACCCAACTGTGCATCAAACGGAGGACCGGCCTAATTCATGACGGGAAGCCCAGGACGGCACGTATCATCTAAGAGTCTAAGTGTATCCACACCACATATTCCGACATGCTTCTCACTTACTTGGGAGTTCCCTTGACTGTCGAGCTTCACTCAGCGAGCTCCTCAACTTGCAAGTACTTGAAGCTGCGAGACTCCTGAATCCAAGCTGAAAGTCGATCTACTTCTGCAACTCGAAGGTCGGAGCCCCAAGTTGGAAGGCCCAGAAATCGAAAGCCATAGCCCTGTTGGACTGAAGTCTGTCGAGGCAGAGGCTCGGGGAGGAGCTGTCGATGCTCGGGGATCTTTTGGGTGGCAGCGCCCGTGATGCATCGAACAACCCTAGACCTCTATGAACTGTGAGTCTGAAGCCTACAAGCTCCAATGTATTCATTCTTAGCGGCATCCTTGCGGCAACGGCTCGTGTGTCGAGCATGTTTGGTGAAAGCAGTCAGCAGTCGCAGGCTCTGAACCCTTGTAGGGCTTCAGGACCCTCGTCTTTGAAACCTGGGACCGATTTAAGCAGGCCGGGTGGTAAGTAAGATGGTTCCTTGGCCTTGTGACCAACGGTGTGTGAGTTGTCTTGCGGATGGCCCAAGTTTCAGGGTGCCATGGTTCCGCGAAGGCAGGATGGCCTCAAGCAAACAGAGAAGGTAAAGTCCTTAGAGCGAAAGTGAGACGGCTTCCCTTGATTGAGCTCTTGTCCAGACAGCGCACACGCGCCGAAACCCTCATTTTGAATTGAAATCGTGCATGCGGCGGATGTCTTCCTCTTGTCTTCTTCTGGACGCTTGTAGACTTATGTTTCGGGTTGGTGGTTTCATCTGCCTAGGCCCCGGCACCCTGTTGCAATCCCAGTGCTTATGCATGCTGTTCGGCATGTTGAACCCTATACTCCCAAAACTGTCAGCCTCCTAACATAGCCTGCAGCGCGAAATCGCAAACCGTCAAAATCTGCAACTCTAGACTCTAGAGACCCGAACCGCCGAATTCCTATGCCCAAAACAAGGATTGTTCAGGCTGCCGTGCGACATCTACACTTTTGGGGATTGCAGGCTTTGGCTTCGGCTTTGTTGTTGGACAGTCGGATAGACCGTCTCCCGTCTCCCAATATCCTCTTCACCACGGCTTGGGCCCGAAAGAAAAGAAACGGACAGCCAGCAAGTTTCAAGCTAGGTTTCTTGAGCTCATTCACCTTGAACCACAGACCTGGTTGTCTTCAGCAGCCTAGAGTGAGTAGCGGGCCTGGATCATTCGCGTGCACCCCTTTCATCAGCGGCTTCGCCCAACACATAAGCCGGCTTCCCTGAAACTTTCGCTCTTTTCGCCGAGCCGTGTGGAATGGCCAGCCCCTTGCTCTGCCTAGGCCCCTACCATCGGCAGGTCCATGTGTCCGTGTTTTGGCAAGGCGCTAAAATGGTGCGGCTGATGTGTTTATTGCTTTGTTACTTGTCGACTGCAGCAGGGTTTACAGTGGCTGTTCGAGAAAATGGCAAGGCAAGCACACGTTCGGGTTTGATGACCCCTATTTCCACTGAATTCGCCATCGCTGAATCCGGGATTGCCTTCGCGGTGTGAAGCTTCGCCGCCAGGGAACGCCAAGAAGCTGTGCTTTATAGCCTATAGTTGGGTTGAGGCTTCTCTCTGGTAAGACATGTTGGGGAATGCTTGATCTCCGGCTTTTTAAGATGCCCCGAAGAGTGAAGCAAAAGGGGTTCGGGCCAGAAGCCTGTGCGTCCATCAGAGAGGCAACAGGCGGAAACCGTGTGCGATTGTGCAGTTGCAAGCAGGATCGCCCTCAACATCGTCCTCATCATGGTCGCAGACAAATTCGCCATCATGGTCCTGGTCATCAGGGTCACATCACCACCACCAACACCATCATCATCAGCATCATTATCGTCATCAACATTTTCATCTTCGTGTTCATTATCACCTTCATCGCCGCCATCAATAACGTCACTGTGCTGTCGTCACCGTCACCAGTACATGGCCAGTCGTGTGGAATGCGAGCTGCAGGTATCCTTGCCGCTGCCGTTTATGACCATGGGACCAGATATACAGGCTAGTTGTCTAATTGTCGTTGCTGTGCGGGAAGGAGGTTTTCAGGAAGCTAACATGGCTGCAGCTCTGCCATGCTGAGGATCTGTCAGGCTTACCACTACAAGACACACAATATTCATAAACATCATCATCAGCATATATATATATATATATATATATATATATACATATACGTGTAGAGATTAGACATGTTTACTTGAATATATGTACAAAAGATGTTAAATGCTTGTTTACATACCTACTTACCCAACTAGCTATCTACGTACCTACATACTTACGTAAGTACATACCTGTGTGCATCTAGATATGTAGAAATATACTTGCGTATGTCTGTCTGTCTGTCTGTCTGTCCGTCCGTCCGTCCGTCCGTCCGTCCGTCCGTCGGTCCGTCGGTCCGTCTGTCGGCTGTTTGTCGGCTGTTTGTCGGCTGTCTGTCGCCTGTCTGTCACCTGTCTGTCGCCTGTTTGTCGCCTGTCTGACGCGTGTCTGTCACCTGTCTGTCGCCTGTCTGCCGGCTGTCTGTCGGCTGTCTGCCGACTGTCTGTCGGCTGTCTGTGGGCTGTCTGTCGGCTGTCTGTCGGTCTGTCTGTCTGTCTGTCTGTATGTATGTATGTGTGTATGTATGTGCGTATGTATGCATGTATGTACGTATGTATGTATGTGTGCGTATGTGTAATTAAGTATGTGTGTATGTCAGTAAGTGGGTATGTGAGTAAGCCAGTACATATGGTACATATGTATGTCATGGTATGTATGTATGTATGTACGTACATATGATATGGTATGTTTTTTATGTATGTATGTATGCAGCATGCATGTATGCATGTATGAATCTCTGTCTGTATGTATGTATATATACTTATATGATTGTATGTATGCCTGTATGCATGCGTGCGTAGATTTATGTTTGTGTGTATGCTTGCATGCATCAATGCATGTTTGCATGTATGTACGCATGGGTGTGTGTGTATATATATATATATATATATATGTATATGCACATTTGCATGGCTATTTATTTGGTCATAATTGTCACATGATATGAACAACTCAAAAAGGCCTTAAAGCCTAGACGCTTACCGAACGTCAGTTGCGATCTCCACTGCCATTCCCAGAGTCGACGCGCTCCCCCTTCAAGTTCCTCCTCTTTTCAAAGACCTGAGCCCGAAGTCCAAAAAACCAAAGCTAACATCCACCTCCCCGTTTCCCTCCTGGGGCTGCTCATGGCCTCTGCCCTTGGTGCAGCGCGTCTGCCCGAACCGGCGTGCCCTCCTCTCAGCTTGCTTCGTCAGTTGGGGTGCTCGGCTCGATGCCGTCCTTACCAGATGTTTGGGGCCCTTGCAGCGTTGAGGGTTTTGGTGAGTTTAGGTGATTTGGTGGCCCAATACCCGCAGCCAAGCAGGGCTCAAGATTCACTTACGTCCCAGGCGTTCGAACACGATTCGACCTCAAGTTATTAGTCTACATGTCCATGTTTATCCTGCTCGGGCATTGGCTCTGCATCTGTAGAGCTGTAACCCTGATCGGCTCTGACCGGAGCAAAGACCCAAGTCTGCCCGTTGCCCACCAGAGTGACATCGACGGTGTTCCCAGCGTTGGCCAGAATGCGGCAAGCTTTGACGAGAGCGGTTACATGTACAACAGCAGCGAGCTTTCCATTGTGATCCCGGAGACGGTACAGTAAGGGGTTTCTAGGAAAGGAGTCAGGAATCGAAGAGAATTGTCCATAAAATACCTTACAAAATTTCCCTTCTACGGACCTTAAAAAGTTTCATATGGAGTAACCTATATAGTACATTCTAGAATACCCCCCCCCATATACCTTACCTGCATCTTATTGAATATAGCTTATGGATTACCTGAATACGTTCTACAATACAACTTTTACGTTCATTTTTATGCCCTGTAGAATTCCTTATACACCGTCTTTCGGAATACCCTTTTATGTGCACTAAGAATACATTACATCGTATGCCCTATATAAACCTTACAAAATACCAATTGCAATACCCTATAGCCTACCTCATACAATACGACCTGTGTCTGATACCCGCAGTATACCCCATAAAAACCCTTAACGACAACCCTATATAGAAAATACTTTTGGAATGCACCAGAGAATGCCTTGTAGGAAATGTTACAAATATTACTAGTAAGGACACAACCAGGAGAATAATACTATATAGGATACCTGCTATATGCCCAGTATGTACCTTTTGGTTACCATATGGAATACCCTATAGAATAGAGTACCCTACAGAGTACCTTGCAGATAAACGAATGAGGAGAATCAGGAAGAGCCCAAGATCTGGAAAACACCCCCGTTGAATTACAGCTTTTTGACTAAGGGACTTTTGCGATTAGGCTGCGAAAAGATATCGCCGGATGAAGCTTGATCTGACAGGAGTTGAGATATGAACGAACACACATGTTTGCAAAGCGCGGCTGGGGAATGAACGAACCTGGCATCTACAAGGTTTGTTTAGAGTCTGTATTCGTACAACTAAACATTTGCCTTTGGTGGCCCAACTGTCCGAAATTGGAAATGAGCAGACTTCTCGAGACAGTCCCCAAAAAACAAAAAATACAAAAACCCATAGGCCTCTACATGAGCATATTCTTCCAGACAGCCCCAAAAAACCAAAGACTCAGAGCTATCCCAAAGGCCATTTCTCCAGACAGTCCCAAAGAAATAGAAAGACCAAAACCCATGGGCCACGAACCAAGCATATTCTTCGAGACAGTCCCAAAAAAAACAAAACTACCAAAGCCCGTAGGCCTCTAAATGAGCATATTCTTCGAGACAGCCCCACAAAAGCCAAAAGCACCAAAGCCCATAGGCCTCTAAATGAGCCCAAAAAACCCAAAAGCACCAAAGCCCATGGGCCAGGAACCAAGCATATCAGTCCCCCCCCAAAAAAAAAGACCAAAACCCATAGGCCACGAACCAGGGGACTGTCTCGCTGAATATGCTCATTTCGTGGCCTATAGGTTTTGGTCGTTTTGTTTTTTTTGGGACTGTCTCGAGAAATATGCTCATTTCCGATTTCGGATAGGTTTCGGAATCGTTGGTTCTTTTGTTTTTTTGGGGACTGTCTCGCGGAATATGCTCATGTCGTGGCCTATGGGCTTTGGTATTTTGTTTTTTTTGGGACTGTCCCAATGAGCATGTTTAGGGACGGTGTCGGAGAGCACGATCGTGAGAGCATCGCGGACTGTTCGTGAGAGCATCGCGGGTTTAGGACTCCGTGGAAGAGCACGATCTCGCACACCTACAACACAAGTGCAAGCAAGCCCCTGGTCGAAGTACTGCGAAATCAGCGTGCTGAGCTCCATACTTGAACAGGAAGGACAGCAAAAGGGTAGGTACATGGGGGGGTAACCATATGTATATATATATATATATATATTCAATCATGATTGGATCCTTGATCTTATTCCGAATGCATTTGTTTTCATGGAACCTACATATTGGTGTTCGTCCGTATCTATATCTACCTCTATGCCCATGTTTTGATTTGTACTATTTCAACCATATCTACCGCCAATACGCATATACATATGCATGTGTACCCAGATCTTCCAAAAGACCTTATTTAAGCTTAAGGTGTTTTTTTGTTTTTCAAATAAGGTGTTTTTCCTTAAATAAGGTGTTTTTTTTTCATACCTTAATTAAGGTGTTTTTTTTAATACAGTCATATACACTATATACACATACTTATACATAGCGAGAGAAACCAACAAACAGAATTTCACATACACACACACACACCCACACACACACAAAAAAAACACAGACACACACAGACACCGGAGTTTCTGTGTCTCTCTCTGTCTCTTTGTCCGTACGAGCTGGAGCAATTGATTTGCTTGGAAGAGATAGGTGCAGCATTCCCGCAGATTATGCCATGCATGTGCAACTTCCTCCTGCAGTCTTGTTTTGGCTGCAGCGGCCTCCTGTAGAGATGGCCCGAGCCCGCAATGAAGCGAGTGCAAAGGATATCAAGAAAGTATTGAAGGGGAATGGCTTTGCAGATGCCCCTAAACCAGACCAGTATATGAACTTAAGCCTGGATGAGGTCGTGGCTGAGTACAAGGTTTTGATCCTGGACGTCTTGAAGGAAACCAGCAGGCCCACCGTGAAGGTACTCCTTGCTGGCTGCATGAGCTTGTTCCCGGAATCCAGTAGAGAACTTTGCAAGCCTTGGTGCGAGAAGCTTGTGAATGCGGTATGTCATTGTCGCAGCAAGCGCAGTTGCACGTCTGGGAAGAAGCTACCACCTGCCGTTCGTGAGGTGGTCATGTTCTTGAAAGGCATGGGCGGCAGTGTGGCACGAGAAGTCTCCAGAAGCAGCTTCAGTTCTTCTGCATCCAAACCTGCTGCAAGTCCTCGGCCCTCGCCCTCTTCGGTGGCTCCTGCGACTCGCAGCAGCAAGGAGCAGATCTTCACACAGTACGGCCTGGAGGCGCCAGTTTCAGATCCAGTTGCAGAGGTGGAGGAGACTGGGCTGTCTCCTGCCCACGTGCAGGAAGTGTTTTCCTCGCAGGAGGTCATGTCTCCTACTCAGGAGGCACCTCCTATGGCAGCTTTGCCAGTGGAAGACAAAACTTCGGGCGGAGACGGGTCTGCTGAATACCAAGAGTACTTCGACTCTGCTCGCCTCTGCATGGTTCGTGCTTATCCCAGTGGGGCTTTGGTGATGGCAACGATGCAAAAAGGCGAAGACGGATTCCAGAAAGCTTTGTTCCCTGGCTCAGCGGAGGCAGTGTCCACAGAGATCCCAAATCTGCGAATTCAGCGGATGAAGCGGCCGGCTGCTCGAGTGATGAAAAAACCGGCTGCCAAGAAGAGGCCGGCTGCAGCACCGACAACGGCAAGTGCTTCGGCTAGCTCTGCCAGCCTCGAAGAAAACGAGGACAGTGGCATGGAGCCCCAGCCATCAGTTGCGGAGGAGCAGCCGGAGAACGTAGCTGCTGCACAGCAGGATCGTGTGGGACGGCGCACATACACCATCATGTATTACAAGGCGCCCAGGCACAAGAAGGCCATTCGGCAGAAGCAGGCTCCCTTCTCACAGCTGTTCCAGTTCGGCCGAAAAGGCGTCCCTGTTTGGCAGATGGACAGGATCGCAAAAGCATGTGTCCAGAAGCTTGAGAGCGGCGAGCTTGAAGAAGCTGATGCCGAAGATTGGTGTAAGAGTCGCCTCGCACAGGTCTGACTGATCATGTCCGTGAGCGAGGCAAATGATTTTCACACTATGCTTGCCATCTAAGCAAACGAGATGCAAAAGGAAAGGCCCCTGCAATTTCGTGTGCAAGCTTCGCATGCAGTTTCCGTCGCCGTGTTCGTCTTTTGTTTTCCTGGCATGTGAATTGAAAGGAATATTCGCAGCGACTTTTCGGCCCAACATCTGCAGAACTTAGCAATGGAAGACTTGCTGCAATCGCTCGCCCGAGTCCAGGCTGGCCGGAGGATTTGGGAATATCTTGATCTACAAGACCAGTTTCAGGTGGCTCAGGTACACACGGCCTGGCTGCTGGACGTCCAATGGTCCATCTTCGGCGACAGCATCCACCAGTTCAGTTGTGCAAGGGCGACCGACCTCATTTGGGCTTTTCTTGTTCCTCGAGATCGCAAAACCGTCCAAGCCGTACACGAGCTTTGGCATAGCGATATTCGTTGGTTTGTTTACCATGAAGGAGCAAACTATGTTTCGAGTGATGACACCCCCCGGGCAGCTGGTTAGATCAGTTGGCTAGGATTTTGTCCTATAAGGAGCCTGGAAGCGGCGAAAAGGATGCCTTGCGATATTCGACAGTGCCTAAAGCACGTCTTCGTGTGGAAGGATGTCAAGGAGGGCCTCCTTTGGAGGAGGCTCTCCTAGCTGGGATATGCGGTGTTTGTTTTTCATTCCACGTTCAATGTTTTGTTTTGGTATATGTTTGGTATATGGTTATTGAACTTCGTTTGTGAGAGGGGTGGGGGTTGTGACTTGCGGGCTTTGACAGTTTAGGGGCACGGCCTTTAGAGACATTCTGAGTATAGTATCCGGCACATGCTCTGGTGTGTAGTGAAAAGCTGCAGCTAGAAGTGCGTGCGAGATCTTGTTGTCTTGCAAGGAGGGCCTCCTATGGAGGAGGCTCTCCTGGGTCCTGCAAAGCACTTGCGCTTTGTATGTTGCTGCTGTGAAACCATGTGTGCGCTGAATGCATATAATGCAGCTTGCTTTGGCTCGAACCCTGTTCCTTTTGCACTCTCGGCCAGCCCGTTGCAATGGCGACGACGGGCACCAGCTACTACAGCGGCGGCGGCTCAGGCGGCGGCGGTTGGGGCTCTGGCGGTTGGGGCTCAGGTGGCTGGGGCGGAGGAGGAGGTCGCGACGACAAGTCGTACTGGGAGCCATGGAAAGACGACGAGCCGGACGAGGATCCGGATGATGAGCCGGAGTATGACCTGAGGTACTGTCAGTTCTGCAAATCGTATGGGTACATCCGCAAAGACGGCTGTGTCAACAAAAAGTGCAGCTTGGCTAGCAGTTATTTGTAGCGGGGGGTTACAGTCTACAGAAGTGTTTGGGTGCATCCTCTAATCCTTTAAGTCTCTAAGGCCCATAACACCTCGAGCCCGAAGCTCCAAGCCAGAGCCCTTAACCCTGAAAACGAGCAAGGCGACTACTATATCTACAACCCCAACCGGTCGGAGCCGTGGAACCCCTACAAGCAGAAGGGAGGCAAGCCGGACTACACCCCGAAGGAGTTCGATGATATCCACGGTGCCAATGTTTCGCAAAACATCAAGAAGAAGAACAAGAAGAACAAGGGACTTAAGCGGAAGCAATGGCAGGAATCGGTCAAGCAATGGCATGCAGCTTGGCACTAGGGAGGGTCTCCTATGAAGGAGGCTCTCCCTGAATTGCAACCTTCATGTAGAAATGTAGGGTCCTAGCTCTGTATAAATCGTACATGGGCTCCTGTCTATGTGTAAGGGATTAAAGGAGGGTCTCCTATACAGGAGGCTCTCCTATGTAAAGACCAAGGCTGCTGGCTGCCCCAAGGGCAAATGGTGGGGTGAGACGGAAGCGGAGAAACGTCCACGAGAGGGTCCTGTTGCCGCTGGGCCGCAATACTCTGCTGTTTTGCTTCAGCTTGTGCGTGCTTTGAGCCAAGGCCGTCGATCCGGAGAAACGTCGCCGCCAAGCAGAGGCAGCAGAGGCTCGGAGCCAGGCGGCGGCACCAGCTTCGCCAACGGGGTCATGGATTGTGTTGTCGTACGGGTCTCGATTTTCCTTTAAGTTCGGTGGAAGCCGTCTGCATCCTGAGCGACCCAGGCCCGTCGCCCCTGCAGCTGGAAACGATCAAGGACAGTTTGTGTGTGTGTGTGTGTTTGTTTTTTCGGAGCTTCTGCTGCAGGAGAGCCACATGCGGGCGACAACCAGGAGAAGGAGAAGGGGGAGAAGGGCGGCGACCCGGCGGACAAGTGATGGTTGCTGGGCGGCAGCAGGGTGGACTTGGGGAGGGTCTCCTACCGAGGAGGCTCTCCCTATAGGCCAAAAGGGTGCAGCGGTTCTAGTTTTGGGTATTTTGCTTGGGTCGGGTTGGACTTGTACTAGGTGACACGGGCCCTGGATCGGTTTCTAGAGTGCAGCCCAGAGTTTTCACATCATTGGCACCATGATGTTCCTGTGTACTAGTAACATGTGTTTTGGGTTTAGGGTGGTTTGGTGAAGATCCCGAAAGATTTCGTTCAGTAAAGAGGCCAGCCCCCGAAAACGAAACACAAGTTTGGAAACAGTTTTGCAAGCTCAGTCGGGAAAGACCAGGGTTAAAATTTTTAACCGATGGGTTAAAATTTTTAACCCTGCTTGCTTTTAAATATATAAAGGAAGGGTTAAAAATTTTAACCCATGGGTTAAAAATTTTAACCCTAGGGGTGTCTGCTGCCTCAGGTTCTGCTGTGGCTGTGGCGGCTATGATCTGAGCTCCTTGGCTGCAAAGGTTTCGGTTTGGTCTGTTGTCGGGCTTGTGTTTCCTTGTGTTGCCGGGTGCAGTTTCTTCGTGTCGGGGCTTTCGTGCTGAACTGTTCGGGGTGTGTCGGGGGGGGGGGGGAAGTTTTGGTGGGCTAGAAGTTTTGTTTTGTGTTGTTGGGGGGGGTGGGGGGGTGGGTTGGATAGGCTGGTGTTTCTGGCTGTTAGTGGTTGGCTGGGGGTCGGGCTTGGGAAAAAGCTAGAAGCAACCCCTAAACCAACAACCTCAACAAATCCCATCCCAGGTTGCTTGGCGACCGTGCTCTTCCGTGGCGCTTGGAAAAAATGCGACCGTCTGCGGTGCCGTGTGGTACTGACGAGGAAGAGGTTCCCAGGAGGGCTCTCCTATAAAGGAGGGCCCTCCTTTTTGGCGATTGGCAAGTTGAGGGTCGAGCTTGGTCCTTGGAAGATTTTCGGACACATGTTGCAGTGCTTTCCTAGGAAGTCCACCTCAGCCTTGCATGTGCATCCCAAACCGATGTTCACTTGTAGGAGGATCCTCCTGTGAAGGAGGGTCCTCCTAGATTCTTGCAAAAAAAAACGTGTTTTCACGAAGCTGCTTTGGGCTCCTGACGTGCTGGCCTCCTCGCCTCCTGCACCCGTCCCCTGCAAGATGGGGCTCCTCCGCAGTCGCAGCGCTGTCGCTCAGGCCGTCGCCAAGAACAAGGCGAAGACCACCGCCAAGGCCAAGACCCAACCGAAGGCCACGGCAAAGGCCAAGGCCGCAGCAGCCTCGCCGAGCAACCACGAGACCACCTCCCCCCGCAGAAGGCGAACCAAGTCGGCCGCAGGGGAACCTGTCAAGACGGAGCCCTTGTCGCCCCAGAAGCCGAAGGAAACTTTGGGGATGGCCAAGGCAGAGGTGGCAGGCTTGCTCACAAGCCTCAAGTACCAAATCAAGGCTAAGAAAATGACGGAGAAGCATCGCGAACAAGCGAACGATATCTTGCTGAAGTACCAACAGTCTGGCGTCCATGGAAAAAAAGAAATATTGCAGAAATTGCAAACGAGCGGGCTTCGTGACCTCAGCTGGTTCGCCGAGATGCAAAGCGAATACCAAACGCAAAGCGTGGACAAGGAGAGCACCACGAAGGGCTACTTCAACAGGACTTTTTTTATGCTCAGTTTTTTATTTTCAGTTGGCATTTCAAGTAAGATTGGTTTGTAATGTTACTCGAATGATTTCTCCAGGAGCCAGATCCTCAAGATGAACGGCCTGGACCCGAGCAACATGGACGAGGCTGTGGCTGCTGACACGCTCAAGGACTTGATCGCCGACTGTGAGGCAGAGTTTGGTTTCAAGTCCGACTGCAAGCCTCACAAGAACCCCTTGCTGGCCAAGTACTACTACAAGCAGAAGGTCGAAACGGAGGACACAGCTGCCACGAACTCGCTGGGCTGGAGCAGTTGCGCCAACGTGGAAGGAAGCGACCTCGGCAGGCTCGTCGAGAAGTTCGACAACCCGGACCTGGAGGTGCCCGCCAACGAAGAGGCTTGGAACAAGGCCTACAGTGCTTGCAAGGCCGCCAAGAGCAAGCTGGGGAAGGTGGCGGACGAGCTCGAGGAGCAGCACGCCAAGCTGGTTGCTCACGGTCCCCAAGCGGAGGCGGACGAAGTTGGGCCCAAGATCGAGACCCTCCGAGGCTTCTTGAAGACTTTGCGCTTCAAGATCAGCGAGTGGATGAACATGAGCGAGGGATGCATGGAAGCGAAGTTGCCGGAGCTCACCCAGCTGAGTGAGGAAGCCACCAGCCACCTGGCTGCAGCCACGGCCTACAACAAGAAGTTGAAGAGCCGCTTCGGTGTCTAAGCTTGCACAAATCCATCTTTTGCGATGGATGCTCATCCGATCTTGAGAGCTGGAAGCTTCAGTTTTGGCGGCTTGTGGAAAATGGCAAACTGGCTTGCATGCCATGTTTTGGTTTCGCTGAGTCGCTAGGTCAAAACTGCTCGCTCGGAGTTGCAAGTCTCTGCTGCCGTGCATTTCGCTTTCGCTGGGCTCGAATTCTAGGATGGCACTCCTACGAAGGATGTGCCTCCTGTGCAGACATGCTGAGCAAAGGGCCGGCATCTAGTTTGGAGCATATCGCAGAGGAAGATAGATTTAGACATGATTGCATGGATTTGTTTTTTTCTGGAAACATCAGTGGAGCCAGAGCCAGTCGACTCTGCGAAAATGCTGGGCTCGCAGGCGCCAAGGGGGTCAAAGATCTGGCCCAGGCTAAGCAGGGAAGCAACACTGCCAGGAACTTGCTTCGGCGCAATCTTCGCCGAACACCGTGGCCGCCGCCATATGAGTGCCAAGTCCGGGGCAAGAATCCAAGGACTGGCAAGGAGGACCTCTACACCCTGGCCTTCATGCTTCCGCACGAAGTGCTACACGTTCTCCTGGAGTCTAACGATGTTTCGGAAATCAGAAATCAACAAGCTCGGATTCCCAACTTGCAAGAGCAACTTCAAGAGCACGGCAATGATGTCCTGCTGTTGGGGCTGTGGCTAGACGGTGTACCGTTTAGCTCAGACCGTAGCCAGACACTGCAGTGTGCAACCCTCAGCTTGCCAGGGCTTACAGATGCTGGCGACTTTCGCTTTCCACTGACAGGGTTTCCAAAATTCTTTCAGATGCCTGAAGCTACCTGGGATGATGTCACGGCTATCATTGCTTGGTCGATGAGATGCTGTTATACTGGCTTCTTCCCGTCCTTCCGTCACGACGAGTCTCGTTTCCTTGGCAACGACAGCTGGCGAAAGAGGAGAGCCTCGCAGCCGCTAGGCTGCCGGGCAGTCTTGGCGGAAGTGCGGGCGGATTGGTCGGCATACCAGGAAGTGTTGCGACTACCTGGCTGGACTGGCAACGGCCCAATCTGCTGGTTTTGTCAAGCGACTTTGCAAGATCTACATGATGTTGACGAGAGCAGCTCTTGGAGGACACTTTGCTCCAGGAGGTGCCTCCTATCGAGGAGGCATCTCCTCATTGATTTTTCCGTTTCTAGGATAAGGAGGGGCCTCCTATTGAGGAGGCCTCTCCTTTTTTTTAACATATAATTGGTTTTCTACCCCAGCAGTTTCCCTACCCCCAACTCTCTAAACTTGGTTTCTAGACCATTCGGCCAATGCCCTTGCAGGAGCTCGCGCCTGTCGCATTACCAGTTCCTGGCCAGGCAGATCTCTGAAGGCAAGAACTTGAGCCCTCTTTTCAGTTGTCCTTGCTTTTCAGTACAGAAGTGCTGCATTGATTGGCTTCACTGCATGGAGTTAGGATGTGCAGCTGACTACATGGGTGGGCTTTTTCATATGGTCGTGCAGACAAAGCTCCCCGAGCGAAGTGTCCACGATCGCTGCAAGAACCTTTTTGGCGATATTCAAAATTATTATCGCCGAAACCTGTCCCAGTCCCGCATGAGCACGTTGACTCCGCTCATGCTGAAAGGCAAAAACAAGAAGTGGCCCAAGTTGCGGGCTAAAGCCGGCGAGGCTCGCGACCTCA